GCCCTGCTGTGGGGGAGGAGCCTAGGAAGGGGAGCTGAGAGCAGGGGGAGGGACTACAAGGTTGTTTCTGTTCAAAATTTTTTCTAAGTGTTTGGGTACTCAAGAAACTACATACAGCAGCTTTAAGGTTCACTGGTTCAGCTACCACCTGCAGCCGCTCGCATACTTCCTGATCAACAAACGTGTGGCTGCTTTGCGTATCCAATAATGCATACACTAGGATTTCAGGATTATGAGAGTTATSTGAAGAGATCCAAACTGGAACAATCATGGACGTGCTTTCTCCTTCACTTCCACTTACACAGCATGACAGCGAAGACGTTTTCCTCAGCATGTAAAGTTCTCTGAGGACAAGGTTTGTCTGATGGAGGGCGGTCTTCATGCAAGGGTGTGGGGTGTCTTCCTTTGCATATGCCGCACGTGGCTTTGTTCTTACAGTTCTTCGAGTTATGACCTCTCCTCTGACATGCAAAGCGCAGCTTATTTTCTTGGACAAACATTTTCTTTTCCTCTGCAGTTTTTTCTGAAAGTTTTTGACACTTGTGCATGGAGTGACTTTCTCCACAGCACATACACATGACAGGGCTTGAGTAATTTGTTGGCATGCTTGACCTTTCTTGTTTATCTGAGTCTTTCACCTTGATCTCTGCCATCTTGTTTAGTTTGCCGACTGTGCTTGATGAATCAGAGTGTTTCATGTCAGTAGCAAAATTGTTGGCCTTTGGACGTTTGGTTTCTCTGAATGACTTRTCCTCTGGGTTCTTCAAAGCATACAGGGATGACACTGGATTGCATGCTATTCGTGCTTCCTTTGAGATGAATGAAGCAAACTCTTTAAAGCTGGGATAATCCTTAGCTTGATCCAACTGCTCTGTAACGTAACGGTTCCACCTTGAGGTTACCCAATCTGGAAGTTTTGTCAGCATTTTCTGATTCTCTTTACAGTCATTCAGCACCTGGAGRCCTTGGACATGAGGCATGGCATTGCTGCATGTTTGCAGAAAGTCYCTGAACTCTCTCAGTCTGACATATTCTTTACCACCAATCTTTGGCCACTTGTTAAGCTTCTCTCTAAAGGCTCTTTGTACCACAAAGGAATGTCCATATCTGGCGTTGAGCTTGTCCCAAGCCTGCTGATAAGCTTCTTCATCCTTCCTATAAAAGCTGCCCTCTAGCGCAGACCTCGCTTCTCCAGTTACATACCGCTGTAAGTAGAAGAGTCTATCTGCAGGACTTGAACATCGTCTCTCTYTAAGAGCTTTGAAGCTGGTGCTCCACTCAGTAAACTTTAATGGATCACCTGAAAACACAGAAGGTTCTGGAACAGGAAGACGAGTGAGAGCTATTGATTCATGTAAAGTTTGTACCAAGGCTGCTTCYGTTCTCAAAGTCTGCTCCTTTTGACACACTGTTTCATCATTGGGTGAAAGGGGAAACTTGTCGCTGTGAGMGGGGCTGAATCTCTCTTTCTTTTCCTTTGACTCTTCTTCAGAGTAGACTCTGAGCCTTGCTTCAATTATCTCAATGTCTCTTTGGTTTTCAAGTCTCTTTAGATTTTGTCGCTGTGCAACAATCTTTGCTTCCATTTTAATCTCAGCTCTTTTAGCTGCTAGTTGTGCAGCTGTTTRTGCTCTTTTGGCTGAGATACTTGGTGATTCAGAAGGTTGTTTGGAACAGCTGCTGACGACGGAGGCTCTGGAGGCTGTGGATCCATAGATAGATTTAGCATATTCACAGTCTAGCAGCATGTGTAGCCTAGCATTTTCTGCTTCAGCATCAAACTCCTCTACATCTTCTGTTACACGCACRTTCATCAACCCCAATAGGTCTGCYTTRACAGCTGAGCAAGCATCAATTTTTCTGCGAATCTCTTGACTTGGTGTTGCCTGAAGTCGTAGCTTGTTGTACTGCTCCTTTAGCTCATGTTCAAGCCTTTCAATCTCATCCATCATGTCAAAAATCTCTCTTTCAGAGCACACAATCTTCAGCCTTTTTCTAGCTTCTTTTACTTGAGTTTTCCATTTTTCATAAGTTGACTGGAACTTTCTTTCTTTTTGTGTCAATTCTTGCTCTTTCAGCTCTTGCATTTTTGGTGTGAGTCGTRTGTTACGAGTGGATTTTCGTGTGTTGTCTGTATTTGACACTGTTGGAATAAAGTCCTTAGGAGGATGCTCACGTGTTTCATTGTTATCTTCCATGTCGGAACCTGCCCTCTCCCTTTCTGATGGGGTGGCCTCAAGTAAKAAGTCTTTTTCAGGATCAACATTGGATACTTCACTGTGATCTGACATGGTTTAGGCTTTCAAAATATCAAAACTTTCAAAATACAATGTTATTTAGAACAACAAGTTGTCATAATAGAATAACCCAGTAAAACACTTTAAATACCTTGAACAGCAATAAACAAGACCTTAAAGGCAAATTCTAATGTCAGCAGATTAATTTCAATAATGCTAAATGCAGTTTTGTTTTGTTCTCATAGCACAGTTGGATACTTATGAATGTTCAATTTCACTTAAATGCACCACTTTCTTTACAGGATGCTATTTTAATAAATGTTAATTGCAGGGGATTTTGCTTTATATTTACTCCCTCTGACCTTACTTTCCGTTGAAGCCTGCAGCACAATGCAAAGTTCTGAGGTAGTGCTGCACTCTGAAGCATAAYGGTTACCACCAGAATGGAAGCTGAGTTGTACTCTGAAGTCTGATGATCACAGGAGACYAAGATGGACTGCACTCTGAAGCCTGATATTTGCAGGAGATGAAGCAGCAAACCACTATGAAGCCTGATGAACATAGGATGAAACAGCTCTGCACTCTGAAGCCTGATGGTAGCCGAAGATGCCGTGGTGGGGCGGAATAGGGACACGTTTTCACTGTAACTGCACTGGTTTCCAAAAATCCACGATTCATACTGATGTCCAGTTTCTTTATTCCACTTAGAACCACGGAACACCGTGAAAACTACAAAAAAAAAATACAACAATAAACCTTTAAGCACAAGCTTTTGTAAATACATAAATACTGGCTTATTTTTTCTCTTTTTCATACAGTACTACAATTTACAAAACTCAGCAGAAATAGAACTTCACATTTATCATCAATGTGTTCGCCAGTAAACCAGTTGCAGAAAACAAGAGGGAGCCTCTGAACGTCCTTCTCCATCCGTGTCAGTCTCTATTTGGC